GGGGGGGGGGGGGGGGGGGGGGGAGGGAACATCCCAGCAAATAGGAATGCAAAATGGACTATTTGAGATTTATTTATTTATTTTTATTTATTTATTTTTACATCACATTTGTATAGCTGCCCATCTCACACAAAGCAACTCTGGGTGGCATACAGCAATCAAGTAAAGTTAAGAAGTTGTGAATCTGCTGATAAACATTACCAGAGCAACCTATTGTAAGACATTCATGTGGGAGAGCAAAACGTATACGGAATCCTTGTTTACGCCAGAGTACCCACATAGTCCAGGACTAGAGCAAACAGTGTATTCTATATATATCCTTTTCTATGTTATTGGATAGCTTAAAGATAGTTACTATCCTGCTAGAAAATACTTTTTATTCATAGAATACTTTTAGCTTGGGAATAATATTAAGAGTTGATTGATTCAGAACTACCTTTTTTTTAACCAGTATGTGTGAAAATGTTGGTCATAATTCTATGTGTATGCTTTCCTTCAAAGAATCCTCAGCACTGCATACTTGTAATAATATGCAAACACATTCTGCATGCAAAAATTCCACATAGGTCAGTGATGTTCTCTGTGAAGTGATTTAAAATAATCTGCAGAGCCACAGCCAATATAGAGGAAGCTGTTGAAAGCTTTTCCCCAAACAGGCAATGCCAAAACCTGACTGAAAACAGCTCTGAACAATGTGTGATTGAAAAATGGAATCTAACAATATTGTCCTTTCTGCTTCATATTAAATATGATTGGACTGCAGTGCATTCAGAGTTTTGGCCTACAAAGAAAAATCAAATCAGAAAAGTCATGCTTAATTGTCTTTTCACATAGTCAGGAATCATGTACAATTAATATAAGAAAGTAAAATCAGGATGTCTCTGCTGTCCCTACCTTTGTTTCATTGACCACTGTATCTTGACAAACAGACTTCTAAGCATGTCCTGGTCATTACAGGACACTCATTTGTCAGTTGGACTGGAGAGGCATGGCTGTCATGCTCCAGTATTTGGAAGCAATGGGCCATTTTGTTTCAACTGAAGCTGCAGTAACAGAAAATGGCCTTTTGAAGTTGTGAACACCCCTATTATCTACAAAGAGTCTTTAGCTTAGGTGGCATACAAATATCATAAAAGAAGTAAACAAATAAGTGAATGTTCCCCCATTGTTGGTGCCCCTGTCCTTGTAAATCAAAAGGAAGCTATATTTCTTCCCCCCCCCCCCAAAAAAAAGAGTTTGGGCTGCCAAGATTTCTAAGGGACATGGGAGTGATGTAATTATGTTCCTGGACACATCCAGGCTAAATTTATCAGCTTTTAAAAAATGTTTGTCATTGAATAAGACAATGTGTTCTAGAAATTTTGTATGACAACATCTACAATGCGATTGGCTGTGCCAAGTTGTTGGGTTGCCTGTTTTAATTGATGTGAGTTTTCACTTTTACCTCAGTGCAAACCTAGGTTGTAACTGGAATACGTACAACAGTTTTATGAATAGAGAAGAATCTTTTGCAAGACAATATTTAATTGGATCATTTATGGCAGTTCTTTTTAAAAAATTGGAAGTATTTATAGGCAGATTTTAAAATATTTGGCATATACAATATTTAAAAATACTCTACGCTCTTGAAATAATTCTAGATGGGTTGAAATTGTTATTAAAACTAGGTGACAGAAATCAGTTTAATACCTGTCCAATACAATATTTCAGTTAAAATATTATTTTATTTCCAGAAAATCAAATTATATATCTATATGTTTACATTTCAGAAAGCAAATTAGAGTTAGCTGGTTAATATTCACATGCATTATTCCTGCTGTAATTTTACACCTACGTTATCTTTCTAGTTTTTAATAAATTATTATTTTTAGCACCTATCCAATAAGAACATCAAAATAGATGTATAAAGTCATATTTCCAACAAACTACATTGATCTTGTTATTGATTTATAACCAAAAGAAAAGAGGAGTATACCATGTTTTCAGTATTATTTTTAAAGATTGTGTGTGTGTGTGTGTGTGTGTGTGTGTATGATTCTCATTCTAAACTGTCTTACTTATTTTTATCTTCTATAGCACCACTTGAAGTGACATTTTCATTTGATGTGGGAAATGGGCCTAATGAAATCACAGTGCAGTCACCCATTCCCTTAAATGACAACCAGTGGCACTATGTGAAGGCTGAAAGAAACATCAAAGAGGCATCGCTGCAAGTAGACCAGCTCCCTCAAAGGACTCACACAGCTCCATCTGATGGGCATATCCGTTTGCAGCTCAACAGTCAGCTCTTTGTTGGTAAGTTCATCTTTACAGAATATTTTTAGGAATATTCAAAGTAATATAAACAATTACATCATTAATATCCATTGATTTTCTTCGGAAAAAAATAGATCAATATGTTTTAGGTAATATAAAACAGTTTGCATATTGCATGTAAATATGTCTTAACTGAAAGTAGTTTCTATTATAAGATGATGCCTCAGAATGAAAAGAATCTCTATAAACAGGCAAAATGTCAACTACACTTCATGGATTTAATTCATATTTTGGCAACCGTATGGAATTTGCCATTCCAAAATAGTGTAGGTTTGTTTGATTTTTTTTTTTTAACTTTCCAGTCTAGCACACAGTCTTCTTATTACCTGCTGGTCTCTCATCCAGATATTACCCAAATTTGACCCTGCTGAGGTTTAGAACCAGACAAGGTGCTGCTACCTGTTTAGACAAAGATAACCCCAAATCAAAGGCACAAGATTCCTGTTGTATGAAAATGAGACTTCATTTAGTAGTCAATGTATAAGGAAATATAAAATGTGTAGATTTAACTGAAATATTTCTGAAGACACACATTGTATACAAGCTGGATTAAACAAACTAACAGTGTTATACCTGTAAGGAATAAATAAACTATACTTAAAGCAAGACAAACATTTATGACCCAAACTGACAAAAATCCCCTTTTGATATAATGTAATATTTTGCCCAAGTTTTTTTTCCTTTTTAATACCTAAGTGTAAGCTTGTGTTTTGAAATATATTTTTATCTTCAGCTCAGTTGGATTTTTCACTTCTTGCTTTTTTACAGAAGGTCCTGTTCTTTTGTCCTGTTCTCTAGGATTTGGAGGAATTGAAACATTAGTCATTATACTTTTTACCGTTGGCAGTTCCTCAAATATCCTGAAATATCTGTGCAATTATTCTTTGAGAAGGTTGATGGTGGTGAGATAGAAAAAAGGAGAGCCTCTGTGGAGGATCTTAAAAGCACTCATGGAGAATGTGGTCATTCAGATAGGGCTTCATAGGTCATAAAGTACACCTTGAACTGTGAATTGTTAACCAATGAAAATGTTGTAACAAAAAAATGGCACTCTCCTATAATCAGCTTTAATTAACAGTCTGCTGCAGCATTCTGGATTAGATGAAACTGCTAAATACATTTTCAAGGACAAATTCAAATGTGACATTTTGAGAAATTGCACACTTGCTTTAACTGTGTAAGGGAAATGGCCACTGCAGCAATGGGTGCCTTTGGATTTAGAACTAAACCTAGAAATGTACCCCAGTTGCAAACATGAACCATCAGAGCTAAAGTTACCATCCAAAAGAGTTGAATATCCATTTTCTGGTATTCTTTTTTATTTTAAAGAATACCTCTCTCTTTGTATTAGCCTTCCATTCTTTGCCTTTGTACACTTGCTAACATTACAAAAATACCCTAGCCTCTTTATTTGGGTTGGTGAGGTCATTGGTGCACAATTTATGGATTTCTTAAAGAATTAAGGACATGTAACTGCAGTAAAGAAGCAAGTTTGCAAGTTCAGTATAAATGACACATTTGACTGGGAGAACATAGAAATAATAGATCACACAAATAGCAGGAGTGCCAGAGAATTTCTAGAAGCCTAACATTTAAATAAATGGACCATCAACAGATCAATGGAGCTAGACAAGATCTACCATCCAGTCAGGCCCACACAGCAAGAAGATGAGGCAGAGCAATCAAAATAAAGGCAGTATCCAATTAATTAACACTAGAAATTAACAAGAAATCTCCAAATAACACCCAATTGTCCTATATTCAAATCTTAGACTAGAAATATTGCAAGTCAATCTTCACTTTTGATCTGTTATGCTGAGGAAGCCTCACTGTGATTTGGGGTCAAACTTCTGTAGAAAAACAGATTAATACTTCAGTACTGATCTCACAAAGCCCAGAGAACTGGGCTACTAAGTGGGCTACTGACTACTAACTAGATACACAACTTCTTAACCCACAGAACCTGAGTACTAAGGAGGTGCACTGGGCTTTTGGTTGCAGTACCAAGTAGAGATTTGCGAACAAGTGGAAATCTAGACTGTTTTATTGTAGGCATTAGAGTTAGGATGTGAAACTTTCATGACATTGAGAACTTTGAGCAATAAGTGTTTTGGCAAAATAAGAAAAAAAAATGGAAGCAGAGAAAATAGGTAAAGATGAAACTTAATGTTCTAGGCCTAGGGCAAGCAATTTTTTCTCCTACATCAAGGATTTTTCTGGCCTTTGAAAGGCATATCAGGACACCTTTCTGGCAAGATTACCTTATACAAACCTTATGCCCTTTTGCTATATCTGTCATTCTTTTACCAAGACCCAGCAGTCAGCATGTTAATGGGAAACGTTGAAGGGAACGTCAGCATAATCTTAGTTTGAAAAGATACTTTGAGCCCTTTTTAATATTTTTATTTTATTTATTTTTATTCCCTGTAACTGCACACACGGGATGCTGGAAGATATTACTGAAGGCAGATTCCTTTTCAGCTGGGCATGCCTGCCAGACTGCTTTCAGTGTATGAGGACATCAAGTTCATTTTTTCAAGGGAACTGTTCCTTGCAATCAGCATGCTAACCTCTTTGCTTAATCATAGTATTAGGGTTTGATCTAACACTGAACCTAATTGGGAGTAAGTTTAGAGAGTGGAAAGCAAATCATATAACACCACTCTCAGCAAACTGATTTCTCTTTTTTTTTTAATACACAAATTGGAGGGTTGCAAATGGAGTCACTGGGAAACATAATCCACTCCAGAGATACCAATCTCTTTCCTAGGATTATGATCCTGCAAGCTATAGGTTCACTATTCCCCATTTACCCATTGAAAGAAAGGAACACATAAACACATACGCCCACATGTTTAGAGAGAGATTTCTCACTGCTTGGTAAAGAGGAAAGATTTCTCTGTAACTGCCCATTCATTATTGCTACCCATCCATTCACCATGAGAAAGTGGAAAAGAATTAAAACCATGAAGATCTATGAGAAGACAGCGGAGGAAGATGAAACAATACCATCATTTCAGGCAAATATTGAGTAGAAAATTAAGATCACTTGCACTGGGTGGCTGAAGTAGGTATCCTGCTCTACTCTGCCTTGGTCTGGCCTTGCTTGGAGTATTGTGTTCAGATATGCACACCACAGTTTAAAAAGGGCATTGATAAACTGGACCAAATCCAGAGCAGGGCTACCACAATGCTGAAAGGATTGACAACCAAATCCTACAAGGAACAATTAAAAGACCTACTGTAGGTATGTTTAGCTTGCAGAAGAGAAGGTTGAGAGGGGACATGATAGCTGTCTCCAAATCTCTGAAGGGGTGTCACATTGTAGAAGGTACAGACTTATTCTCACCAGCTCCAGAGGGTAAGAGTAGAATTAATGGAATGAAATTTCAAAGATATAGATACAGATAAGACATTAGGAAGAACTTCTTGCCAGTAAGAGCTGTCAGTTGGTAGAATAGATTACTGTATGGAGTGGTTTCTTCCCCTTCACTGGAGGTTTTGAAACAGAGGCTGGATACTCATCTACAGGGGATGGTGTAGTGAATTTGGCAGTGTGCAGGAGGTTGGACTTGGTGACCTCTTAGGTCCCTTCCAACTTTAGGATGCTATGAATAAAGGGGTAAAGCCTGGAATTCGGTCCACTGTTGAATTAGGGAATGGCTATTGCAGAGTGAATAAGGTTCTCCTACATACATAAACATGACATAGGATATCTGTATACAGAGGTGGAGACCCCGAAATTGTCCATTTTAAGCAGACAAGGCAGAAATATTGCTGTCTGATCACACATGGAATTGTTCCGATCTCAGCCTTAGAACAAAAGTGCTTGGGAGAAAGATATGGTGGCAAGAGGGAAAAGTACACTGGAAGTGTGATGGATACATGATGTGGAATGTAGGCTGTGTACTAGCTGGCTATACCATGATCTTCAGTGAGCATGTTGTCTGTGTGCCTGATGATCAAAAAAAAAGAGTCAGAAAAATAACAAAATAAATAAATAGTGCTAGAAGGAAGCCCAGGCAATGATTTTAAGAGGGGAACCACTTCTGTCCTGTAAGTTGGAAATGTTTTACTATATATTTTTTTGCTATCCCAACCACTGAGTCACTGAAATTTGGTAGAAACTTTCAAGGGAAGAAGACCACCCTTAATTCTTTGAACAAGGTCAGGCAATTTGCACCCAGCAGACTATGGACCTCTGCTGTAAGCAGTCCTGTTTGCGCCTAGCAGAATCCTCCTTCTATGATTTTGTATAGGACTGCTAGAAGGTCAAACCAGTCAATCCTAAAGGAAATCAACCCTGACTGTTCATTGGAAGGATTGATACTCAAGCTCAAGCTCAGATACTTTGGCCACCTAATGCAAAAAGACGACTCTTTGGAAAAGACCCTGATGCTGGGAAAGATTGAAGGCAAAAGAAGAAGGGGACAGCAGAGGATCAGATGGTTAGATAGCATCACTGAAGCAACGAACATGAAACTGAGCAAACTCCGGGAGGAAGTGAAGGACAAGAAGGCCTGGCGCGATATGGTTCATGGGATCACAAAGAGTCGGACATGACTTAACGATTGAACAACAACAATAAAAAAACCTGATACCATAATGTAATAGACAAGTCTGATTTATTCTGAAAGATCAGTTTTAATGTCTTGACTGATTACCTTTAAGGCAAAGCCTAATTTAGCAAACCCATAACTGCAATAATTTGGGGATATGATTTAATTGTAATGAACTTAAAAGATAAAAGATCTTTCATGTCTATAGTGTTCTCTAAAAGCAGATGTGTATATGTGTCTCTTTGTATGTGTTTAATTACAGAAATAGTTATTACTGTAGGAATGTGATTTAGATAATAAGAACATCTGGATATTAAGTTGATAATAAAATATTTTGGGGGATATTCCACTTTGTCACAAGAAAATATTTTCATATGATTTCTTATAACTCCAGCATGGAGATAAGTCTAGTTTTCCTTTCATAGGTCCAGCTGCTAACAAGAAAATCCTTCATTAATGTTTTTCCTTAAGTTTTACTCTTTTTGGTAACTCTGGGAACTTTAATTCATTTTTTTTATTCCATTAAAGCTTCTTTCCTATGAAAGGTATGGTGGTAGTGATACTGTACTGAACAGTAAGTAGGAATACAAAATGAATATAGTGCAGTATCTCCATAAGGCATACTTCAATACATAGTGTTACAAAGGTAAGAGTAATAGAAAATTAAAAAATAGAAAAGTTATGTAATATTTACAAGCTACAATTATGGCAAATATTTGTGGCTAAGCATTGAAAAATGCATTAATTGCAAAATGCATTAATTATCTGCTAATATATCTGAATGGAAACAAAAATTAATTAAATTGAATTAATTAATTCATGGATTCACATCTTGTTCATGTATGTTTGAAACAGCTTTTTTTAAAAAAAAAAATCAATAATTTCCTGCTGCCAAACTTTTCCCAGTCCTAGAGGATTGTTTGGAGTACAATGTTTAGCTTTCAGCAACTCTTAAATTAGTAATTAAACCTTTTCTGACCTTGTCACACTAGGTAGAAAGATTTCTTTGCTTATTTATTTATTGTCTTACCTTCCACCTCTTGAAGATTGCTTCCTGAAACTCGACTTTTAAACCGCTGTTTCCTGGAAGAGCTAGAATAGCACAAATATTTATTTTCTTGTAGCTCATGAGAGCCTCAATTGCCTCAAAGAACTTTTGTAAAGCAAGCAGGAGAGAGAATGAATATTAAGGTGAAACTGTGTCAATATAATGAATTAGACAGTCCATCCTGTTTCTTATGGGTGAACCAATCATGATGATGGGTCTAAAATGCTTGTGTAAATCCATGCATGACAAAAACTTTCTCTGCATAGTCAAAAAAATATAATCTGTAGCTTTTCCTAGCTTTTTGTACTTCACAATTTACTACTTTGCATGTTTCTGAAAAGGCAAGGAAAGGAAGATTGGAAAATGAGGAAGCTGATGTCAAGGCAGCTATACTGATAAAATTTGGGGAGGAGGTCTTAACTTGAAAAATGTTGAAAAATTATTTCCTATCTTACTTTCATTACAGTATTAGGTCCATCCATCTTTTTTGCCACCATCAGTAATGCTCACATACATCAATTTCTTCTATTCCTTTCTATTCTATCTTGCACTACCAACTCTTAGGTAACAGATACTTATAAGACAAAAAAGGGTCAACATTCATACATATTCTGTGACTTATAAATATTTCCAGGTGTTTTTACATGCAGAGTTATTGTAGTTCTTAAGTTTATATACATTTCTATTCATTGCAGGTGGGACGGCATCAAGACAAAAAGGATTTTTGGGATGTATTCGTTTTTTACAATTAAATGGAGGAGCCCTTGATTTGGAAGAAAGAGCCAAAGTAACCCCTGGTGTAAAGCCAGGTTGTCCTGGACATTGTAGCAGCTATGGTAACTTATGTCACAATGGAGGAAAATGCAAAGAGAAATACAATGGATTCTCTTGTGATTGCACTTTTTCTGCATATACAGGGCCATTCTGTAAGAAAGGCAAGCATGAATTGTAAATTTATTTTATATACAATATCAAAGGAAATCAGTATCTGTATGTTACATTTTTAAAAGATGTCTACTTGGGGATTGTACAGTTCTGCCCCTCTGAGATTGGATTTGGAACTCCAGATGTTGACAGTCCTTTCTCACCTTCCTTGAAAGGCTCCAGTAGGGCTTCTTACCAATGTATAGATCCAAAGGCTTCCCACTTTCTGAAATGCTGCCAAACCAATATATAGTTTATGTATTTATGTTTATGTTAAGTGATAGAGAATTTAATATAGAATGATACTAGGAGTAGATGAAGAGTACAAATACTATTTCCCACACTTTTGTCTTGCAAGGATGAATATTATTTTCAGAAGCTTAAGCTTCAGATCTCTCTGTCTAAACATATAGGATTGTTTTGTAAATAAGTCATATTTTGGAAAGCAACCCATGTTGTTTTAATATTTTAGAAGAATTGTTTCCTTAGATATTGAAGAACATTAAAGGATCAGCAACTGTGAAAGTGGCAGTCAGTTGTGTTAGGTAATTTTTTATGTGTCTTAAAAGGTTAAGTGCAATATACGCTTTTTGAAAATATGCTTCCATATATAATACCCTGCAGAATTAAATTGCAGTAATGCAACTAGTTTTGTATAGATAATTATCATAAAAGAAGTTAAACTATCAAACTAAAAACCTTGGAATGATAACGTGAAAACATATCTGTCACTCCACCATATGTGTTCTACTAAAACATCTGTACAAGGGGGAAGCAGTTCACTTAACTATTCTATTCACAATCTGGAATCTTACTTTTCTTAAGTTCTTGCTCCAAACTACTGTGTATTCTTTAAATTCTTATTTCAATTCATAAATAATAATGATTATGTTATTATTTCTTTCTTTTGGGAACACAATTATAATGAGCGGCATACATTATTTCAGGTTTATATTAAAAAAACAAAATGCATGTTGTTTCAGAGATATCTGCATATTTTGGAGCTGGTTCATCAGTAATATACAACTTTCAAGAATCCTACAATGTTGCCAAGAACTCCAGTTCACATGCAGCTTCTTTCCATCCCGACATGACACTAACCAGAGAAGCGATTACACTGAACTTTCGAACAACACGGATTCCAAGCTTACTTCTTTATGTAAACTCATTCTACAAGGAATATCTTTCAGTTATTCTTGCCAAAAATGGTATGTACTCTTAAAAGATATAGCAAAGCTACCATTAATTAGCATCCTACTCCAGAAATTACCTTCTAAAACTTTTTAGCTTTAGATACTTGGCTTCACTACTGTGACCATAAAGTTACCCTTCTAGAGCTTTATTTTTGGTGGTAGGGAATAAATATATCATCCTAACATACACTAATATCAAATATGATAAATGGTGGGTCAATTTTAATAGAGGTCATACATTCCTATAAGACAGTCAATATTGTTAGCTACTGATTTTGTTTAGAAAGAAAAATGCAGTGTATTTTTAAATGATTTTTTTTCTAGAAATAACTAAAGAATTAGTACCAAAATGTTAATATTACAGACTACTTGCATTGCAAAACAGCTACTGCTGTTTTTATTTTCTGTTCTTTGAAGAATTGCTGTGGCCGTTTATCAAAAGCAATGAATGTTTAATGTACAATGTATGAACATAAAACATGTAATGGTAGAGTACTGCATGTTAAATATAAGTGGTAGTGTATTGGCTTCAGTCCTTAAATAACTGCAGGAATAGAATAGAATATGATTAATGGGAAATTTTACCAATAAAGTGCTTTTAAACTGAACTGGCTGCCTGATAAAATAGTAAATTTTCCAGCTGCTATTCACACTTTACTTTCTTTCGTGAAATAAAGAAAGCTGTCTCCTAATGTGTTTCATCTTTTTCATGTCTAATTTTCCAGCTCAGTTTTATTATCTAGCTGATATTTAAACTATTATTTTCAAAAAATCATTTTTAAAAATTTTATTTATTTTTATCATATTTATGTAGTTGCCCATCTCACACAAGGTTTTCAAATGCTATCCTGAAAACTGAAAATATTATGTAGCTGTTTTTTGCATAGATTAGTCATGAAACTAATGTATGATTTCTCCTATTCGCTTAGGAAGTTTACAGATCAGATATAAGCTAGATAGCCATCGAGATCCCGATATCTTTAGCGTCAGTTTCAAAAGTATGGCTGATGGACAGCTTCATCGTGTGAAGATTAAAAGAGAAGAAGAAAAACTATTTGTGGAGGTAATACCAGAAAAAAGGAAGAAAGGGGATGTTATTAAAGAGGGCAAGCATCAAAGATAATTAAATAAATGTATAGATTTAATAAAATAAATTTATATAGCACATACTCCTGCATGAAATTGAGAATCTTAGTTAAGAGATATCTTTAATATTTACTTAAAGTATCCTCCCAGCTTATTTACAAATAACTATGCAATGGTAACTCTTACCAAGCATTCACAAATGTGCAATTTAATGGGTGCAAGTAAATGTGCATTCATTTAATCTCCACTTACCATTTTCCTCCAAGTAGCTTTAGTCAAAATACAACTGTGTCTTGTATTAAATCCTTAGAGTTTGAGGTCCAAGTACTTTTGGTACCTGTCTCCCTGGCATATATCAACTTGACTTTTAAGATCTTTGGAAGCTGTATTCATTTGCCTAGAAGCAATGCCTTGGGAGCAGAACTTATAGCTTTCACAGCTATATCACTGTAGACCTGCATCATATGTCCTCTATAATTCAGTTCCAATTGCTTAAGTCATCTCTCCTTATCAAGGCCTTAAGAACTTTTTAGAGATGGTTTAAGCATATACTATAGTCTTCTGTTTTGGTGTGTGTGTGTGTGTGTGTGTGTGTATACATACATACATACATACACATACACACATACATACATACACACACACACACACAGACACAGAGACACACACATACATACATACATTGTATAATTTAGTATCTTGTTATTTGTTTTATTATTTTTTAATGTTTAATTTTATTGTTTATTAGTGTTTGTGCTTTATTATTCTATTTTCATATACAAATCATTTGTGATTTGTTCTAAACAGCAATATAACATTTCAATAAAAATAAGTAAAACTGATAGATAGAGCCAGTTTGGTGTACTGGTTAAGGCATCAGGCTAGAAACCAGGAGATTATGAGTTCTAGTCCCACTTAGGCACAAAGCCAGCTGGGTGACCTTGGGCCAGTCACTCTGTCTCAGCCCTAGGAAGAAGAAAATGGCAAACCACTTTTGAAAAACCCTGCCAAGAAAACTGCAGAGACTAGTCCAGGCAGTTGCCAGGAGTAAAAAAAAAAAAAAAAAACCTAGCTTGAAGGGATGGGAAAAAAAAATCCTGATTAAGATGTATTCAGCTATGTGGCTGCCATATTCCAAAGTATTCTAGAGACTGGAATGCTGACTTTTCCTGAGTGCTAAATTAAAACCAATAATATCAGTTGGACCATAGATTAGAGTAAGACAGCATCTACATAGGGCAGCCCATGGCTTTATTATCCCTTTAACAGGACTGGGGTAAAACACAACTTTTATTTTAAAAATTAGATAGCTTATAATTGATTTTGAAAATGTATTATAATTGATTAGTTCTAGTTATGTTCGTGTAATATGCTCTTCTGCTGGGAATAATGAAAAGTTACTTGGAAGGTGTATTTATGTCTACCTCATTACACAATTGCTAAGAGGACTGGAAGATTCACTTGCATAAATCATATGCGAATATGGTAGCATCAGGCAGACTCTACTCACAATAACAATATATTTGGTGAAGAAATGGTGTAATGCAGATATGTGCTGTCACCACCATTTGATGACAAACAACTGATATAATGGCCTGGGGGCTTTTTCATAATATTTAACTGTTTTGAATGTAACATTCCTTCTCAAAAAGTAAGAACTATATATTTGGAAGAGAAACAATGTCAATTATACTAAACTTAAAAATGCATAAAAAGAAGCTACCAAAATTAATTAGTTTAAAAAGGTATTAAATGTAAAGTTGTGTATAAAACCATCACCTTCCTTTTAATGAAAGACACATATTATGGCTTTCTTCTCTTAAATGTTATGACATCAGTAACAGGCTCCCCCCACCCTTTTTTTCTATTTCTCTTTTCCCTCCACAATTTTATCTTTCCTCATACCACATTCTAATTGCATTTTCTTCCATTATGCCACTTTTTATATTTCCTTGGACAATACTGAAGGTTAACCAGAATGAAAGGATGAAGTTCTTTCTGTCTTCAGACATTCAGTTCAATGCAATCAAGTCTCTCATTCTTGGCAAGATCCTTGGTAAGTATAATGCAAAAGATAAAATGTCATCAGATATATAGATATAGATATAGATGTATATAAAATAATAACCCTAATCTTGTTGAGAAACATTTCTTTTTCGCATTTGATTAGGCAGAGAGTGACAATCAAGGTGGAAGCTTCATTCTTGTCAAAGTGCATATATAATCGCTGGTAAGTGCTTCTAGCAAGATGAGCAAGTGGATTCCATTAAAAATAATTTCATACTTATCTTTTCCATTTTGCAATCAGACATAATGAAACATGGCATTTTTTAGTGCAATCTAACAAAGGAAAAGCTAAATCACACTCAAATTATAGGTAAAGACAATGAATGGGTTGCTGCAACTGCAAGAATTCCTTCCTTTTGAACAATATGCTCAGTGCAGTCTTTCTCAACCTTGGTAATTTAAGATGTGTGGACTTCAACTTCCAGAATTCCCCAGCCAGCAAGATTGACAAATACTGCTCTAATGGATAAAGTCAGAGAAGTTCTGTTTCCAAATGGATTAACCCATAGAGAGTGATCAAGAGATATGTGATACTGAAAGACACATAATGAAATCATAGTCATGGCACCCTAGTGTGTGCTATCCTATTCAGCCCAAGCAATCAAGAGTCTTCATTGTTTGATGGCAGGAAGCTAATATGTAGATGACAAAAGAATGTAAACATATAAGAAAAAATAAACCTGGTCTCTAACATTGGCTATACCCACAGACGTATTAGGTATTTCACTGCCCTCAGTTGACCAAATATTAAAAAAGGGGGGCAGGATAAAAATATAATAATAATAATAATAATAATAATAATAATAATAATAATAATAAT